TTTCCATTTCGCCCATACCCCCCCATCCAAAAGTTGACCTTTTTCGTTTTTTTTTGTGTGGGGGGGTGCGGCTGGGGATGCGCCGCCACGTGGCGTCTCCCATTTTTTGAGCGCGGCTGCCACGTGGCTTCAAAGCCGCACGTCCGCGGGGTCCGCGGACTGGCCGCGGATGGCCGCCGCCGAGGGTGTTTCATAGCTTCCAGCCCGTCGACCATCAGAAATATCTGGACCATTGGCGAAGTGGAGAGGGAGGCTGGTGAATGGGAGGCTGCTCAGGCTGGTGAATGGTGGTTAACGCTATAAGCGGAAGGCCGGACCCTGGAGAGGACCCTGGAGAGGCTCATTCTGCCTTCAAGTTGTGCCTGCTTGCTGTCAGTGTGCTGCTTGCGAGGCTGACGTGAGGAGAGCCTGGTGCCAGAGGCTGTGAGAGAGCACCAGCCGGGAAGGCGATGCTGGTAGGGTAGCCATAGCCAGGAGCTTCCGCCATAGCTGTATGAGAACAACCGGCGAGGAGGACGAGAATCAGGACTGTGAGACTGCAAGGCCGACCGTGAGTGGGAAGCATACCTGAACTTCCCTGGCACTGAATCCACCGCTGATGATAATGAAGCTGCTGCTGGGCTCAAAGAGGTTGACGAAGGTCATTGCCAAACTCCCTAGCCAGGGCTATGGTTGTAGGCTGGGCGCCATTCTTAGAACCTGCACAAGGATCTCGACAGTGATCGTCAGAGGTTGTCTTTTATTGCTGAGGTGGCGCTGGAGGGTAGATACCCTGTGCAGAATGCCTGATAGAAGAGCCGACATACTTGTATTATACCTATTTGTTAATATGACTCTTATCACTCTCCCCTCTCTTTCTCTCCTCTCCCTCGTCTCTCTCTCATTGCTTGCTGCTTCTGAAATGCGCAATTCATCGGGACTGGAGTTGTGGAGACCACATATTATCATGCTGGTTTCAAAATTGTGTGACATTGCTAATTGTGCATCTTAACGAGACTGGGCTTATTACAAGATTTAGGATTAAAAAAGATCAATGAAGAAAAACAAACAAAAAATCCAGTATTTTCTTTCTTTCTTTCTCTTTTTTTTTACTTTTTATTCTTTTTCTTGATTTATGCCTGCCATCCTTCTGCAGGGCCATGCTAACTTTCTTTCTCTGTCCTTCCGACTCTCTCTCTCTCTCTCTCTCTCTCTCTCTCTCTCTCTCTCTCCCTCTAGATGTGTATAAGAGACAGAGCCGCAACTCACCAAACTTCAGCAAGAGAAAGAAAGGGAGGGCGGGAGAGACAAAGTGCAAGAAGAAAGATAAAGTTACAATGGCGCCCGCCCAAAATTACAGTTACGCACACGATTAAGGGCGCCCACTAATCAGAGTACCGTTGCAGCCGCATGAAGAAGCGCGTAGACAAAAGG